GAGGGTCTCCGGGGGGGCTGGGGAAGGCCATTTCCCCCCTCCCAGACTCATAGAGAGGCTCTGGAGCAGTTGAAAGAGAAAAACGGGCCTACTGGGCCATTGCGTGCCAGGAGCTGGGGGGGTAGCGGGGGGGTCGCGCGCACATGTGCAGGCATGGGGCGCATAGAATTATGGGTGTGGGCACGCTTGTGTGCAACCCCCCCCTCCTGGCAAAAAGGTTAGCCATCACTATTATAGAACATTGTTCTCCCAAAATTAGATTAGCTCCATCCTTTTGTCATTTTGCAAAGCTCTTAAGACTTAGTTTATGTTATCAGGCCTGGGGCTCCCAAGCAATCAGAGATTTGCTTTCATGACTCCATTGTTGAGCTGGCTATTTTTATTCTCTTTTTGTCTGGGGTTTGTATATTTGTTTTTTTATATATATACTATTTATTTCTTAATGCAATTCCTTTATCTTTATATCTTTTATATATGTTTTTTTTCTCTGGTTGCTACCTGTCACTAGTTTTTGGTGAGATGAGCAGCTATACAAATTTGATCAATCAATAAATACATTGGGTTATATTAAGTGAAATATTAGCAGAACTCTTATATTTAATCAAAATTATTTTTAAAAAATGATATTGTTTTATTGAAAAGGTGCCCGACATAATTCATTGTGTAATGAGATCACTGCATCATTTATAATTAAAACAGAGAGTATTTCTTGTGGGCTTCTTTTAAAAACTAAAGACTTTTTAAAAAAAATAAAACCCATTTTCTTTAAGTAAGTAGAATTATCTTTAAAATCCTTTGATACATAAATATTAAATGATCTTTTCTGACATTAGTTTAACAGGCCTACACGAACTAAACATAAAATTGATCTGTATACTTGGGTATACATTCTGTTTTTTCAAACAAAAGGAGCTTGATCCGAAGCATTTTGAGTGAAAAAAGAAAGCTGCTAGTGAAAAAAAATTGCATGTTAGTACAATAAGCGTTATTGTGTTAGAGCAGCAGTCTCCAATTTTTGTGGCTCGGCGGCCCAACTGGGTGGTGAGAGGGGAACCACACTGGGCAAGTGGCAGGCCAGTGTGCATCAGGGGTGAAATGCTCCCGGTTCGGACTGGATCGCCCGATCTGGTAGCGATGGAGGCGGGTGGTTTGGAGAACCGGTAGCAAAAATCCCTGCCCATCCCCCACCTCGCCCCGTGCCCAGCTGAGCCGCACAATCATCACAGGCTTTTTTTTTACTTTTAAAAGCATTTTTTCTACAACCTCTTCCGCCGAAAAAATTCCTTTAAAAATAAAAAAAAAAAAAGGCCTCTGATGATCGCGCGGCTCAGCTGGGATCATCAAAGGCTTTTAAAAGAAAAAAAACCCTTTTTTCCTTTTAAATGCCTCTGACAATCCAAGCTGAGTTGCCTAATCGGCAGAGACTTTTTTTCTTTTAAATGCCTCTGACGATCAGGCAACTCAGCTTGGATCGTCAGAGGCATTTAAGAGAAAAAAAGCTCTGACGATCAGGCAATTCAGCTTGGATCGTCAGAGGCATTTAAAAGGAAAAAAACCCTTTTTTTCTTTTAAATGCCTCTGACGATCCAAGCTGAGTTGCCTGATTGTGTCAGAGGCATTTAAAAGAAAAAAAAGTCTCTGCCGATCAGGCAACTCAGTGGGATCGTCAGAGCCTTTTGAAAGCATTTGTTTACAACCTCTTCGCGGAAGAGGTTGTAGAAAAAATGGTTTTAAAAGTAAAAAAAAAAAAGAGGCCACGCCCACCCAGTCACATTATCCCCCCACCAAGTCCACGCCCACAGAACCAGTAGTAACAAATTTTAGATTTCACCACTGGTGTGCACCCATATGCCATGCAGTTCGACTGCACACTGCCGTGCCTCTCGTACAGCCCAGTTCCGAATAAGCCATGGCCTGGTAGTGGGCCACAGCCCGGGGGCTGGGGACCCTGTATTAGAGGTTCTTGTTATGCTTCATCTTTTACAAGTGTATGTATTACATGAATTTGGTTTTTTACCCTAGTCCTTTATGACATGCAAAATAACTCGATATGAGCAGAAAGTACTACAGTGTGACATTTTCATATTACTTGAACAATAGTTCAGTATTGAATATTGTGATGGGTAATAGAAGTAACAGTATCGGATCCTTTTAATTTCAGTCTCTACTTGTTCAGGATAGTACAGGTAGTTCTCAACTTACAACCATTCATTTAATGACAGTTTGAAATTACAAGAGCAATGAAAAAAGGAACTAACAACTGCTACTCACACTTATAACCATTGCAGCATCCCCACAGTCATGTGATCGAACTTCTGGCGCTTGGCAAATGAGCATGTATTTACCTCAGTTGCATTGTTCCTGGGTTATGTGATCTCTATTTATGACCTTCCCAACTGGGTTCTGACAACCAAACTCAACTGGGAAGTTGGATTCACTTAATGATTCCATGTGTCACCTAAACTGTAGTGATTTCCTGAACCATGGCAAAAAAAGTTGTAAAATCAGGTGTGACTTTTTAACAACTCTCTTGCTTAGCAACAGAAATTCTGGTCCCAATTGTAGTTGTAAATCAAGGACTACCTGTATACACAAAATAGTGCAGGTGTTCCTTTGCCCATAAGAATATTTTTTTTCTTACTAAATCCTAAAAAGAACAAGGATTTAAGATGTCTGCATGTCTTATTCTTAAATTGACCTTTGATTACTTGTCAAATAATGTACAAGAAACATAGCAAAGTTATAATTTTAAAAATGCTATAGAAGATGCATTGCACGAGAATGAGCAATTACCAGTATAACTGTTATTTATTTATTTATTTTAGCCTTAGGATGCTGCATGGGGAAATTGTAATAAAATGCTGAAAAGTGACTTGCAGTAAATTATTTTCCAAGTTGGAGCTTGGAAAAATGGTGCTATAAGCAGATTATGAGGTAAAACCACTTTTATTGTTAGATGTTTTTCTGATGCTTTATTTTCTGGCTGCTCTTTCTGACAAAGAAGACTCCAGCTAACAAAAGCATCTCTACAATAAAGTCACTATAAAGGCACAGTAAAGTGTCACAGGACTCTCTTAGAAACATTAACATTTACACCTCTAAAATGACTTAATGGCTCTAAATAATTTTGATTTGCTTCTAACCAAGAATCTGCTTGAATTACTTTCTTACTGTGTAAGTGTTGTCTTTAATGGCTATTTAAATGGTTGCATGGTACTGTATTTTATGAAATATTAATATAATGTGTGTGAGTCTGATGGAACCAAAGAACAAAGCACTATTTTTATAATACGTTTATGAAAATTTGCTTTCTACGCAAAGTACAAAGACAGTAAGACTGGCTTTCTACATTGTCAAATGTAACAGTTTCATGTGTGACTTTAGGCATATACAGTACTGTTTTGTAGAAAAAGCTACTTGAACACCTAACAAGACGGAACAGTATCCCAGCATAAAGGGGGGGGGGGAGTTTGTGCAAAACCACACATGGATTTTGTTTTTCTCATCTGTTCTTACAGGAAGAAGATAAACTATGACACATCCCAAAGTTTCTAGAACTAAATAGCTGTAACTCATTTAGTTTTCCTAGACACTATTCTTTGCTTCCCTAAAATCTTTGTTATACAGAACAAAGTTCTGTGTTGTAGTAAAAATGCAAAATCAATATATAGCATTACATTCACTTTAAAAGATTAAAAAAAAAAAAAAAAGGATTCCTGGGCACTACCAGGAGTTCATTTTGTAGAATTACATGTCATAGTTGCGATAAGGATTATTTTCACATTTATTACATCCAAGATAGGCCATGGATAGAAACTGTCCATTTAAACTTTCTTCTGTGAGTACCGACCCTGATAAATTGTTAGATAATTAGATAGACATAGATACCCAAACCCAAGCACATACATTTTGTGGGTTTTTTTTTTAATTTTAGAAAACACAAAATCATACAATCCTCAGTAATTGCCTAGATTCTCCACGTTATTTACCTCAAATATTTCTTATGGAGGCATAGAGAAAGGCTTAATTTATCTATTTAACGTAATTAATCAATTATTTAAATACATTTTGCCCTATATGATATCAAATATATAAGTTTAAAGTAATCATTATATAAAAATGGCAACAAATGCTATATGAGAAGGCTTGACTACACTGGGCTATTAGTGTTAAGTTTCTTCATGCAATAGATTTATATTGATATGATGGATTCTTCAAACCACCCAGGAAATTTTTTTGCATATAATTCTGGTAAATATATAAATTATCCATAGACTGGCAACATGGCAATGGAAGCAACCTATGTTCCTTTATTTATGAGTAGCTGTACCCGGCCACGCGTTGCTGTGGCCCAGTCTTATGGGTATACAATATTTTTTGACCGAGTGCCAATAATTTCCCTCTGTAGCTCAAGTTACGCCTACTTTGCCTCCGTCCCAGTTTGCTGCGGGTGTAAGAGCTGGCTTGCCGGTATAACCGCCTTCACCTTCGCAGCTCTCCGCACCACAGGTGGCATCGGGGTCCCTGCCAAAGGTACGGCGTACTCCGTTAGTCAGGAGGACGCTTCGCGGTGTTTGACATTTCCCGCCATTTTGCTTGTGGGTTTGGCAGCGGCGGTGCTGAGGGGAAAAGACCCGGCTCGCGCCTGCCATTGTGATGCTGCGACATAGTATAGCGTGTGTTGCTTTTACATCCAACAGATGGCGCAGTTGGACGCCAGCATGCTAAAAAGCATGTTTTTACCTGTCACAGGTGTAACATCTATATAAGCTAGGTATATAAAAACACGCCCCTATTCGAATGCAATGTTGTGCCAAAATTTCAAAGCAATCGGTGAAGAACTTTCGGAGATTTACGATTTTGAACAAACGAACAGTTACATTTTTATTTATATAGATTTGTAAAAAGCCAGCATTCATTTATACTTCGGATGAATTTAGTTCTAAGTAAAATTCTTAACTTCAGAAAACCATTTAGCTATTTTCTTTCTTTATTTTCAGGTGATCTGGTTTCACAAATAGCATCTTCTTTAAATGACAAGAATCTTGAAGCTACTACATTCATTTACAAGATACTGAATTAAAAACAGATTCTGGAAAGTATAAGGTAAGCTTTTAGTGCACTTTAAAAATGCTCATGTACTATGTGCTGTGGTACGTGAGCCTGTGAACTGGTGTCAGTTTCCTAATTTGTGACTGTTTATAATCTGTATTAGTTTACCGGCCTCTCTCGAGGTTATTACATGTGAAGCTATTTTGGGAATGACCTGCAATATCTGGTAGAATGGAGAAACATACAGGCACATATACTGCTAATTTTTTTGTCAAGCTGCTGCAGTTGAATGAGTTACTGCATGGTGATACCAAGGTCAGTTTTTTATCGAACAGTTTAAAGCAATGCCCAGAGACTATTTCCAATTCCAAACTTTTTATTCATTGTACTTTTTCTGTGGAGTAGTCTTTAGGAACTATTTAATAGACATGGAACCTGGTATATAGCAATATGCTGCTTCTGTAATGTTTAAAAATACAAAGCTAAACTCTAGCCTATTCATTTTTGGTCCTGGGTTTTAAATTTTGTCATATTTCAGCAGTTAGAACCAAGTTTGAGATTTCTCAGAGTTCAGATTAGCTGTTCTGAAAGTCATGTTCTCGCAGCATCGTAATAAAGAACAACCTGTGCTGATGTGGCAAATCTCCCCTGTTTTGTCTATTGCATTTTTGTTTTCCTGATAGCTGATTCCGATGTCCTTTGAGGCTCAGAAAAAAAAGAGAAAAACCCACGCTTGCATTAATGTTGATGTCTTGTACTGTATAAAAGCTCTAATTTAAATTGTACTGCCCACTTTTTCAACAGTTGACTTGCTTTGGATTGGTAAAATTTGCTTGCTATGATCTTTATTCTTGATGGTTATTTCTGAATTTCTTTGCACTCTAGTGGGGTGGATTTTTTTTTTTTACATTCAGAGACACCGTATAGATAGTGCAGCACAGAGAAACAGTCTAATAAAATGTAAAGGATGATCAAAAATAACTTTTGATAGGGAGCAGAAATTTGTCCCTCATTTCTTTTTCGATATCTACAGACTGTAATAGGAACAAGTATTAGAAGTTAAGCTATGATGCTGTTGTTTTTAATAACTTTAGCCTATTACCTCAGGAAGGTTATGTGGGGCAGAGAATAAGCTAGACGTGAAACTTCAGTTACAGTATTAGAGGCTTGCACACTGTTAAATTGAATTAATGAGGTTATTAAAAGCTTATTGCAGGAGAGTCCCAGCAGTGAATCCCTTCATTGGCTACTCAGCTTAGCAAACAAAATGCATCAGAATTTTTTTAAAAAAAGTTATATCAAGACCCCCTAACTTTGAAAATAATAGTGCCAGGATTTATTTTTCCACTTCTGGATTTGTATGGGGTGCTTACTTGATTGTGATTCACATTCATATATTTTTTAAAAAGCTCTTAGCTTCTTGCAACAAAATCAGTTCCTTTATTTTTAAAAGTCTACATTGTTACTTTAAAATTAAAGATGAGATTCTTAAGGTTCCTTGGATATCTTGATTTCATAGAGTTTAGTTCTGGAATTCAAGAGATGTTGGAACACAGTACTGTTTACAAGCCAACATCATTCACAAAAACTGCATACAATTGTAGTGAATATAGCATATTCTTTCAAGAACATAGAATCACTATAATTTTAAATATTTAAGAATTGATTTTTAAAGCTTCTTTCCTTTTTTTCCTATATAGGCATTTATTCTGATACATAATTGTTTTGTAGAAAATAAGTGAGTTTCATTTTCTTACTTTCAGAGTTTGCATTTTTTCATTTAACCTCTGTTGTCAGTCTAAAAATATCTGATCAGTTAGCTGCTTGTATGAGGTTTTTTTTTCCTTCATTTTTTCTGTTTTATACTGTTGATGTTTGAAAAAGAATCCCAAAAATAAGGTTGGACTAGGATTGAGCTGCTTATGAGACCAAACTATCTTTTTTTAGCTCAGAAATAATAGCAAAACAATATAATTTATAAAAACCAACAACGGGGAAACAATAAAACCCATTATAGATAGTCCTTTTCTTAAAACCACAATTAGGACCAGAATTTTGGTTGCTAATCAAGTTGGTTGCTAATTGAGTCACGCCTGATTTCATGAGCTGTTTTGCTGTGACCTGTTTAAGTACATCACTTTAATTGTTAAGTGAATCGCTTGGTTGTTAAGCAAATCTGGTTTTCCCCCTTGACTTTGCTTATCAGAAGCTGGCAAGAAAGATCACAAAAGGTAATCACATGATCGCAGGACATTGCAACCATCGTAAGTATATGCTACCATGTTTCCCCGAAAATAAGACCCTGTCTTATGTTTTTTTTCGAATCCTGAAATAAGTGCTTGGCCTTATTGCCATGCGCTCAAAAGCCCGATTGGGCTTATTATCAGGGGATGTCTTATTTTGGGGGAAACAGGGTAGTTGCCAAACACTAGGATTTTGATCATCTGATCTTGGGGATAATGCAACAGTTGTAAGTTGAGCACTGTTGTAACTTTGAAACAGGTGTAAACAAATGGCTATAAATCAAGGACTACCTGTACATGGATTTGAGGTACCCGGAGAGTTTCTCAGAGGAATCACAGGTTTTCAACACTTTGCAAAGGAGCTGCACATTTACAATTGTGTACCCTTTGGGGGAATGCTGCTAAAGGGGAGGAGGGACAGTCCCAGAAAAAGCTCATTTATGTGGCCCTTCCAGGAAGAATAGTTTATTGAAGAATAAGAGTAAGCCAATTCTGCTAGAGTTTACTGGATGGGAAGAAACTCCCAAAGAAGGCAAACATGTGGGTAACCAAGTTTCTAAGCCAGGTACGGTCTGACTATATGTATAGCACTTTTGTACAAGCTACAACCAAAATTTGGTTTTGCATAAACTTGGATACCAAAGGTTTTTAATTGAACACTTCTTCCAACACAAACTGAACCTGTATAAATTTAAGTTAAGATCCAGGTTCTGAGCATTTATATAGTTGCTTTCTTTTGGCTTACCTTGTTGGAGAGGACTCCAAGTAATCCCTCACGTCTCACAGACTTTTCAGATAAATGTCAAATAAATGTTGATGACTTTATTTTTTTCTTCTTTTCTGTGAGCTGATTGCTCTACACACATGGCAAGTGTATTAAACCAATTTCAGAAAGACGCATCATTCTATCATAGAAATACTTTATGTATTTTATTTGGCAAAGATTTTTTATTTATGCTGAAAAACTCCCAATGATAAATGATTTCAATTAAATATATATTAAAGGAAACATTATTGCTCAGTGTCTTTTTTAAATTTTATTATAAGGGAAAACATTTCCCTCTTTCCTTAGCCTGGAATTTAGAGTTGATTTTCTGGCAACCAGAGATAAAGTATAATGGAGACTGTAATAAAGTTTTAAAAGACAGAGTGCCTGCATGCTTTATTTCAAATAGTGGCAGGCTTTTCCCATATTACCGGAATAACTTTTAATACAAATAATACAAACTGATATTAATAGCAAAGCATGAATCACTTTGACATATCTAAGAAAACTGCCTAGAGATAGGACTCAGAAATTATATTATACATTATATTTACTTTATACACATTATCGAATACCCTATTATTCCCCTCAATGTCTTTAGGTTTTCTTTTTTTCTTGTTTCGGCTTAATTTACACAAATTTAACATGCATTCATGTTAAATAGTTCTCTCTCCACTAATACTGGTATTTATGTGGAACCTCTGTCTGGAATCATGTTTTTTAAAGAAAATATGTTAAGAGGTATGCATAATGTTAACGTATTTAATATAGTAAATTATTTTAGGAGTAGGTGTTCAGAAAAGCCCCTCATCATCCTATCTTCAATATGTGGGTGGTAGAGAGTTGGTTTGGGTACACACACACACACACACCCCTACAAATTGCCAGCAAACTAGATTGGCACCAATGCAAACTTGGGTCTAAGATTGAAGCGTAAAGGAGCTTCTTTATTATTTATATAGTATCATTTGACTGAATTGTATAGACTTGTAACTTTCAAATTGTTGCCAAAAGTCTCACCTCTTTCAGTGCATGATTATATGCCTCAGTGCCTTGTCAATTCATTGTCTTCTGCAGAACAGGTAATCCTCGATTTATGACCACAATTCAGTCCCAAATTTCTGTTGCTAAGCAAGACAGTTGTTAAATGAATTTTGCTCCATTTTATGATCTTTCTTGTCACAGTTGTTAAGTGCAGTTGTTAGTAACATGGTTGTTAAGTGAATCTGGCTTCCCCACTGACGTGGTGTGTCAAAAGGTCTCAAAAAGGGATCACATGTTCCCTGGACATTGCAACCGTCGTAAATATGAGTCAGTTGCCAAGCATCTGGAGTTCAATCATGTGACCATGGGGATTTTACAATGGTTATAAGTGTGAAAAACGACCATGTTACTTTTTTCAGAGCTGTTGTAACTTCAAACTGTCACTACATGAACTGTTGTAAGCCGAGGACTACCTGTATTTAGAAGTAGGTGTGATTTATTTGTAGAATGGGGTGCCTGAGAGTCTACTCAAGCCTACATGCAGCCATTGAAAGCCCTTACATCTGAGTGAGGTTATCCTCCCCTTCTAAGGGTGGTTTGCAATTTGGAAATTCTAGGCTGCTTATATATGAACAGGTGGCAGCTGTAAGCTAGTAGGACAGTTTCACTGTTACATTTTTGTAGGCCAACTGTGACTGGTCCTGGATGAGGAGTTTTTGCTCATAATCATTCCTGACCTATTCACTACATGTTTGGACTACATAATATATTCTCTATGGGGCTACCCTTGAAAAACATTAGGAAACCAACCGGTACACAATATACTGATCCCGAACAGAGGTGTCTATATCTGGATATGCGTTGATGATCCCAGAGCTTTGGAAGGTGCATTGGTTGCCAGTTGGCTTCTAAATGTGTCTCAAGTTGTTGGTTGCCTATATGACTTTGAACCGGGTGATCTTAGGGAACATCTTCTCCTGTATTCATCTCCCCATTCAGCTTAAATGAAATAGGTTCAGTGTCCTCCAGGTCTCATCCCTCCAGAATTGTCACATTCCTGGTGGCAGCCCTTACTTTTTGGAATTCCCATCCTGTCAAAAATCATTCAATCATGTCAGTAGTGGTTCCACTTACCTTCGCTACCGGTTCGGAATCGGGAGCGTGAACGAGTGCATGCTTTGCTCGCGTGTGTCGCTTCTGCGCATGGGCAGAGTGTCGGTGATGATGTCCGGGTGAGTGGGCGGAGCCTCCCGCCACCGCCTCTACTACCGGTTTGCCCGAATCAGGGCGAACCAGTAGAAACCCACCACTGCATCACATCTTCTCTCTTTAGCCAGGATGAGGGCGCACTTTGGTTGGAAGGTGGGATTGCAAGGCACATGGTATTTTTGCTTGTGATGTTTTTCTGTTTTGGAATTTGGGGAGGGGCTAATGTATCTGTTTAGATAAATCAATATATAAGCATTTTATATGGTTGTTTTCTGAATAAAGCCATTCTAAAGTGTCACTTCAGTTGCGGCTTGAAAATATTTTTAAACGTTTCTTAAAACACCTACTTGTTATATAAGAAAGCATTTTTATGCTAATTCTCACTTAGACACCTTACTGCCGATTCCCTTGTTCTTCTCCTGCTCTGTCAAGTAGGAAATCTATAAAAAAAAAGAAATTAAAAAACAGTACCCCACGTATAAAGTACTTGCACAGGTAAAAATAAACAAAATGAACCAAGCTTGCACTGCAATATGTGCTTGAAATCAGATGTTAACAGCATGGTAATGAAACCAAGCTAAGGCTGTATACTTGATACTCAGTGTTTTTAAAAGCATGCGAGAGGAGGCTTACTAAGGAAGAGAAGCAAATCCAAACTTTAAAGCCTTAGATTATCACTTAATGTTCCTAGAAAATAATTTCTTACATTTCCAGGAAATATTTTTTTTACATTTCTTGTGCAGCACCTGCAACATATGCCATACGTGTGACTCCTGTTTTTAAATTGAACTTTTGAATGTTACAATTGCTTTTGTGGAATGGGTATTTTCATTTGTATTTGAAGATCTGAAATAGTCATTTGAAGGTTCTCGAACGCAGTTTCAAACAAGTATTTGTCTTGGTGCTGATTTTCTGTCTCTGGCATAGAAATAATTTGTGCCCAGCCTCTCAGGAAATCTTATCTCCCTGAGTCTTGGATAGCAGGCTATAAATGCAGAAGAATCCAAAGGAGAAAGATGATGTATCACGTTATCCAGTAATGTTGAGTAGTGACTCATAATATTGGGAACTATTGAACATAAGGCAGATTTCCCAGTTGGGAGGTAGGCATATTTGACATCATCTTATTTATGCTAAACACTTCTTTCCAAAATTCTTATTTTCAACCCAAACATTTTATGGAAAGCTGTATGTGCCGTCTGTCCTTATTTTATTTTTTTTCAGATAAAAATTTGGAACACTATTTGTTTTTTTAAAAAAATAATTGACTCAGTCATTTTTGTAACTTTAACTGACAGTACGTTATATAAAATGTGTACCATCCTAACTTTCCCCCTGCAAAGTTCTACTTTTTTTCAAGCTTCGTGTAACTAACAAGGTAACAAAGCAGTGACGTAATAAAATAAATAAATTGCCATTTTCATCTGGTCTCTCATGTGACTGAATGAATATTTTCCAGTGGTGAAATCCAATTTTTTTTTACTACTGGTTCTGTGGATGTGGCGGGCGTGGCGTGGCGGGTGTGGCTTGGTGGGCGTGGCTTGGTGGGCATGGCAGGGGAAGGATACTGCAAAATTTCCATTCCCACCCCACTCTAGGACCAGCCAGAGGTGGTATTTGCCGGTTCTCCGAACTGCTCAAAATTTCTGCTACCGGTTATCCAGAACCTGTCAGAACCTGCTGGATTTCACCCCTAGTATTTTCCCAAAGATCTATATATCTCACCTGTTTTTGCTTACATTCCTTTATTTTCTTCTACCAAATATCTCAGCTTTTTTCTTTCTATCTTCTCTAATGGTGCTGCCTTTGTTTTAGCCAAAAGCTGCCAAGAAATGCAGAGAAAGATGTGTTTAATTTTTACTTTTCCTATCCTGTCTATTTCTCTTTTTCCTGTCTGCTTTTTTCCATCATGTCGCATGCCTACAACTTTTTTTATTTTATTTTGGAGGGAGAAACAGTTGCAAATGGTGGTCTTGAATGGACCAAAGATGAACAAATAAACAAACATTCCTTCCATTTCTCTCACTTCTTCCTTTTCAACTAGAGTAGACATTCCCAGTTATTGTTGAACAGCAAAATTCACAATTCCTCACCATTACTGTAGCTCAGTAATTTTTCCTCAGATACTGTAGCTCAAACTTTTTAAACGGGGTCAATTCACGGTCCCTGAGACTGTTGGAGGGCCGGACTGGCTGGGTGGCGTGGCTAGATGGTAACGTTACTGGGTGGGCGTGGCTAGGTGGTCATGTGATTGAGTGTGTGTGGCCAATTTAGCAGTCCATTAAACAATACACACAAATTAAACTTTAATTTGTTATGTTCCAGGGGGTGGTGGAAAGCAGGTTAGTGGAAGGATATGGTTGCCTTGGTCTGTGTGTGAGGGACTTCTGTTTGTGTGCGTGTGTCTCTCCCTCCCTCCCCCCCTTTCTCTCTCGAGGCTGGGGAGAAAATGGGAGGCCTCCACTCATCCCATTTTTGGTCTCCTTGGCCACCAGAACCACTCTGCTTCCCAAAAATTGGCCTATTTTTGGCCTCCTGAGGTCTCCACGTGTCCCATTTTTGCCCTCCTCGGCCTCCAGAAGACAGGTGGGGGCTGGCGGATAGGTGGGGTGATGTGGCTGGGTCAGTCGCATTGCACGCGGGCTGAATTAATGGCTTTGGCGGGCCGTATCGGGCTCACGGGCCATAGCTTGAGGACCCCTGCTGTAGCTGATGATCTCTGGATTCAGGACAATTCTGATTGTTTAAACTGGGATGTTGTGTGTTAAACTGTAACTACTTGTTTAAATACTCATCTTTTTCGGGCATGGTTGGAGAGGAAAAAGGCTAGGGTGGAAGAGACATCCAGTTTAAGTCTTAAATTTAATTGAAATGCTATATATCCTGATTTGTTTTACTGTGTGTGTTTGTATGCAGTAGTTATCTATTAATTATAACAAGTGGTAATTACCATCAGCTCTCTGATACTATTCTCCAGAACAAACAGACTGACCCTGTGGTTGGTTTTTTTATTGTTGGTTTATCTTTTTTATATATGTATATATATGTATATATGTATATATGTATATATGTATATATATATATATATATATATATATATATATATATATATATATATATATATATATATATATATCATCTTTCTTCTTGGCTGTAATTAGATGTTCTGTTCTTAATGTACATCAGACATAGTATTTAAAATCAATAAAATTAATATTTTTAAATTAAAATGTTTTCTGGCCTTATATTCCATCTAAACAAGTATTTTTATAATAAATTACAAATATATGGATATAGGTAATAAAATTGGCACGCTGTAATTGTTTTGAGTAAAGATGTAAAGGAATTCTATCAGAAACACACACACACACGTACACACAAACGCGTTTGTCAAGCTGACGATCTGAGCAATAACTAGAAGAGGTTTCCTCAACCTGATTTGAATAGTTTGGATTACAGCCTCTATTAGCTGATTGGAGTTGAAACTTTCTGGGGCAAGAGGGAATTATAACATTTCAGACACTAAATCTGGGAAGTTTGGATTAGAAGTTTGGAGAAAGGAATGATTTCTATCATCTATTTAATCTGGCATACTTTTGATCAGCCTTCTTCATTGTGTAAATTTTAATTTGCAGAATTTTAATGTCCATAGTGATTGGGAAATTCTCAGCACTAAAGTCCATACATTGGGGGGGGGGTATGCAAACTTTGGAGAAACTGGTCTAGGGTAAAACTGTGAGAAGTGGGTTTGCTCCTTTTTAATGCTAGTTATTGAAAACTCTGGTTTCTAAAGCATTTTATTCATTTGTCGACCAATTTAGCATCACTGTTTAATAAAAGCATGCATATTACTTAATTGACATAGGGGATCCAAGTGGAACAATCTGGTGACACGCAAATGAAAGTAAAGCATAGCACAGTTTTTCTATAGAGACTGTTGATCCCACAATAATTAGTAATTGCTGAGAGTGGGAAACATGGCATGGGTTTCGGGTTCAATATAAATATACAGAGACAGCTTGCTGAAAATAACCTTGTAAGTCTCCAAGGTATATCAGGTTTTCATACATTATCTAGAAAGATGGCTGGGTGGTTTTGGAGCAGTTACTCTCTCTTAGTCCAGACATCAGGCTCCAGTGACAAGCCAGTTGGTCAATTTCTATTGCAGCCAATAGATCAACACTTGATTGATCGGGGGGAGGGGGAGGGATGGGGACGGACCGACCCCAGCAGATCTGCATTTGCGGGAAAGCATTTTGTAGAAGAAAAAAAATCTTGTGTAGCAGCATAATTTCTACTTGCCATTTTTATATCTGTCTTGGCTTAAGAGTTTCATAATTTTAGAGCAATGAATTCTTGATACTGTATGTTAATATCTAAATTGAATTGGACATTCTCTACTTAGGGCACATTTGGTTTATTAATGAATACTGTGTCACTTTTTAATATATATTACTTTAAAAATTAGAACATGGGGATGGGGAGGACAGACTCATATAAAAAAAGAATTACAAGAGTACTATAGTCTGCCAGTTTTTTTAATCTGTGCTCACTAGTAGCTAAATAACAAATCAAGCACAATAAACTTTAGGATAGGAAGTTTAGTTTATTCTAATACTTTTTATCTGAAACCACTATTGTAGTATTTCATAACTGTACATTGGCTACTGCAATCTCTCTCTCCCGCCCTCCCTCCCTCCCTCCCTCTCTCTTTACAGATAAGCAGTGGTGAAATCTGGCTGGATCTATCCGGCTCGCGTGAACCGGTAGCACCGGCGGTGGGAGACTCCACCCACCCACCGGGACGTCATTACGTCCCATTTTTTACCTTCTGGTCATGCGCAGAAGGCTCTGCACATGCCCAGAAGAGGCGCGCTCCCGGTAGCGAAGGTAAGTGAATTTCACAACTGCAGATAAGGAACATCCAGATGTTCAGAATAACTCAAAGGGTATATTAGTGAAAAGCTTTTGAGCATTAGCAAAATATTTAAAAGATAGATGAGAAATGTGGCAATTAACTGGATAGTGAAATCAAGAAATCATGGTTGGGGGTTTATTTTATATATGATGATCATAACCATTACAATTATTGTATGAGCGTATCATACCCAGTCTGAAATGAAAACGCTATTCACAGACCAAGGAAGGCTAAGGGTATGTGAGTTAAAGATCAAACCTCCAAAACTGTACCCCAAAAGTTAGCTTTTTTTCTTAATTCTCCTGCTCTGAGAAGGATGCTACAGTGCAGTCCTAATCCAGATTAGATACCAGTGTGATTCCCTTAGATTAATTTAAATGAACAGATCAGTTCCATGTTGCATAAATAATATAATATAGCCTCTGGTTTGACAAGCATAATCTCAAAATAAAAATGGAGAGAACATTAATGAAGTTTGTTAGGTTCTTCCTAGGCCTGTGATATTTTCAGGTTGTCTGCTCTCAGTTTTGGAAGTGCAAAGCCACAAATTCCTTAATTATCAAGTATAGTAAGAGTAGATTAGCTTCTCTCCTCCTCATTGGAATTCTAGCCATGTAAAAGTTGGTTGATTTATTTAGGCTCAGTTGAGTATATTAAAAGTGTAGTCCTTACGGAACACTTCAAGAAGATTTGTTGACTTTGTAGAGACTTGCTCTGGTGAAGGACTTCGACAGGCTGTGAGAAAACCAATACATTTGTCTGCATGCCAAGAGCTGTTGGATTTAGAGGCTTGGAGGAGACAAACCTTGTTTGAGTGTGCAAAATGAATGTGAGTATGCCTGTCACTACACCAATATACATCTCCCTATATGAAATCAACATAATGAAGATAAAGCAGAACCAATTTATATAATCTTATGATTTACTCTACTCTACAAACAACTGTTGGGGTCATAGATTGGTATTCTGTTACAGAAACTGAACTCAGAGGATCAGATTCCAGAATCTCACAGTAATTTATTAAATGTGGATTTCACTGTTGGGGACCACAAGGGTTCAGGTTTTGTGTTACACTTAAATGTATGTATTTATATATTAAGTATATGAATATGTTTTTAAAAAATAATTTATCACTATGTAGGACAGTGATGGCGAACCTTTTAGACACCAAGTGCATTTTAGACATGAATGCGCGCATATGTGGACATTCACACATGTGCAGCAGAGACCTAAAGGCCAGCTGGCTGGCAGGAGGGCATCCCAACACTGGCAGCGCGGCAAGAGGTAAGATATTTTTCTTTTGTGAGCTTCTGTTTCGTCGTTTGCAGGGATACAGAAGCTCACGAAAGAAACGCCACAGAGATCTGACCTGGGGCGACAGCGCGCGTGCCAGCAGAGAGGGCTCTGCGTGCCACCTCTGGCATGTGTGCCACCTCTGGCACGCGTGCCATAGGTTCGCCATCACGGATATAGGAGAATGGGCAATTTAGTGCCTTTCATATATTTTGGATTTCAGTAATCATCCTCAAAAAGAATAGACAATAGGCAAAGGACTTTGAGAATTTTGAGTTTTCTGTTATATAGTGGAGGGTATCCTTCTTTCTTGTAAATTAGAGGTGGGATTAAAATGGATTTAGGGTTACCTCTAATATGTGAGTACAAGCACTTGGGTTGTTACTAATCCGATGAGTATCAAAGCCACTGTCATGGATGAAACTCAGAGCATCCAGGAGTATATTAGTAAGGTAGCATCCAAAGATAAGCTATTGAGGCAGTAGTAGACAGGGAAAGAAGATCAAGTAGAGGAAGTGCCATAGCTATACAAGACTCTGCATGGGATGTATCATTGACATACAGTTGGGGTGACTTACATTGGAAAATCATACCCAATAATATCATCTGGGAGAATTGGAAATTTATGAATACAAATGAATAAAGAGTATTCATAAGAATACTCTTAACAGATAATTCAACATTTTTGAATTATCTGTTTAGCAAACATGGACACTCATTTCAGTTTTTAATGTAATAAAAGTGGGTCAGTCCAACTTAATCACCAAGTTTTGCACTTTGCCTTGACTGCAGACTAGGACAAAGGCATAGGCTGGACTGGACTGATATTTTTATCTGTAAAGAAATCTGGCCAATGAAGGCAAATAAGATGTTAAAATAGTAAAGGCAGTTCACAGGCAAAATAGAAATGAACAAAGGTATGGACCTTTGGTATGCATTATTGCAACATCTGCAGTTTGATGTGATTAATTCCAAGGTTACCAAAACACTACAGAAAGTGTTCCTCTCTGTGTAACATTCAGTTATAAGCTAATGTATTGGAGCACCAGGTTGCTTTGTTTTGATAAACATGTGAAGAATTATCCTGGCTTTAATATGAGTTTTCTCTTGGTGATTTTAATCATTGGCTTTAAATCTCCTTGATTTAAATAAATGTGCCTTGATAGATGGACAGTTTGGAGAGACTCAGCATAAACATCTCTTTCATAGCACTGGAAGATACCTGATCCTCAGCATTGACATCTTTATTAGTTATGTTGTCAACAGCAACTTAAATCAAAGCACAGGAGAGTGGCAGCTGAAACTACCAGATTCCAGAAATGACTGGGAAATTGAAAAAACATTCCAGAAGAAACAATGGCAAATTATTTCTGTATTAGTAACCAAGAACTTGCAGTGCAATAATGGTATTCTGCTTTTGTCATTTGCAACAAGTTTTCTTAGATGCCCATAGATAGGACTGCAGAGGGAAAACAGAATTGCCCTAAAATCAGTACTTTGCAATTTCATTCTGAAAGTTTTATTTCAGTTGCTTTGGAGTAGTTTATAAATGAGTCGCGGTGGCAAAGTGATTAGAATGCAGTACTGCAGGCTACTTCTGCTGATCACTGGCTGCCAGCAGTTTGGCAGATCGAATCTCACCAGGCTCAAGGTTGACTCAGCCTTCCATCCTTCCAAGATGGGTAAAATGAGGACCCAGATTGTTGGGGGCAATATACTGACTCTGTAAACCACTTAGAGAGGGCTGTAAAGAACTATGAAGTGGTATATAAGTCTAAGTGCTATTGCTATAAATGCAAATAAAATCAATACATTAACATTTCAGGGGAGAAAATAGAAACCTCCCCACTACTCAATTGCTGCCCTCTTGACATTGGGAAAAAATATTTATCCAGAAGTTTGTAAAATGAGCCTTTTGGTGAGCATTTTGTAGGTTAAAGAAGTCAAATATTTATGAACATGATACTAAGGAACAAAAGTGAGACTGAAACTTGCTAATACTTTTTATAGAAAAATATAAAGCAGAGTTGATGACTGAGTTTAGCTTCTCTTTTTTTTCCAAAAGAAAAAGATAGTAGCAGCTTGTGTTTTCCATAGTCTCTCACTGCACATTTCTCCTTTGCACTTCTTCCTACACAGTCTTTTCTTCAGAGATTGAGAGATTTGCATTCTAGCAGATCAGACTGCATAGCTTGATGCCTGCTGAGAAAAGCTTGCACGCCTGTTAAGCTGTCTGTGCAACTCCAGCAGGGAGTCTTGCTATTCTGAATTCAAACATCTTTACTTTGGGAGAGGCGGATGAAACGAGATTTGATCTAGAGAAACTCTAGAGATGATAATCCTGGTGCTAATTTTACACCTTAAGAAGGCTGGTTTATCTGCTGCTTGGGAACAGAATGGAGGGGTGGGAGCGGATTGGTAGATGGCAGTCATAAATTTCACGTCAGAAAAATAGTATTTAAGATCTGGATAAGAAAATTCAGCAGCTTCACTTGTTGCAACTTCCCTCTCCCTCTCCCTCTCCCTCTCCCTCTCCCTCTCCTCTCCTCTCCTCTCCTCTCCTCTCCTCTCCTCTCCTCTCCTCTCCTCTCCTCTCTCATGTGAAGTTCATTAATGCTTACATCTACCTTGGGAAGAAGACATTAAATCTGTCAAACTGTTTCCAGATTATTTATATCATGATCTGTGAAGCATATGGTTTGAGCATCTTCCTCACTAAATTTTAAAGAAGACAGGATTGTTGTTGTTGTTGTTTTTTTTAAAAAGAGGAAGTTTCTATTTTCCTTGCAGGACACATCAGAAATAGGGGAAACAGGTTTTGTTTGGCAATAATGTCTAACTTGGGCATTATAATAAAACTGAGACTGCAATATTGGTCTAAATTTAAAATACTGTGTTGCAGATCATTAAAAGAGATTTATGGCAGTTCTAAATTATCTCCAATAATATGCCATGCAGAAAGGCATCGGTAGATAACAGAAACCTAGGATGCACTTTTTATAACTATTGACAGAATATCTATTAAAAAGTGATTTGCTGTCCCCATTCAAAATATAGGTTTTCCTTACCCCCTATCCTTTTTAAACCTTTATAACTAATATTATAATCCATATAAAATACAATTTTGCTTCTATTTTTACCCTAAGTCCTGAACTGTCTGGAAAATTGCAAGAGTCTTTTTTCCTCCCCATGGGCATTTTTTATTTGACAGATCGGTTTTTTGGGGGGATGACTGAAATGCCCAATTAGATTTAGATTGCCAAAAAGAGAAGTCTTATGTGTATTCAGGTCCCCAAATACTTAAACACTTGAAATTGAGAACAAGACTTTGGAACTACAAAATATTTTGCTTCTCACTGAAGGAAGATCTTAATATTTCCAAGCTTTCTAACCACTTTCTAAAACTGATAAGAGGGAAGAAATCCTGTCTTGTCCTAGGGATAAAATGCACATAAATGAAGACTTTGTGTCTTTGAATATCTTGATAGTAAATACTAATTCTCTAACTGACTACTTTGGGTTATGTTGTTGGAATGCTGTTGGGCTGCTTTCTCTAGCATTTTGAAACATGAAAGCAAAATACAATTCAATAACTGTGTATGAAAAAGAAGAAAAATCTTCAGTCTGCAACAACAATTGTTGTACAACATTAATTTTTACTACCTTCTCCATTGAGTGTTTCAGCTTCAAGGAGGAGATGGAGCATGGCATTCACTTGATTACTACCAAACTGCTGTTATTAGCTGTTCTGCTCGACAGTATAATAATAGTAATAATTCATTTAGTGAATACAATAAACTATAGGTCATAAATGTAGGAACATTAAAAATGTAATAACTAAGGTAGTTGCTCTGATAGAAGTGGAAAAGTTTCACAGTGTAATAAGCTAATCCTCATTTTTGTTTTCTATCTGCTGATGTCTATAGAGTTGTAATGAGAGTGGAATCTTTTGTTCGTAATTTTTTTAAAGACACAGTTCTCTTTCTGAGTCTTGCATTTGCTTTAGCTTCTCCAACTGTTATTCTTGGTTACTTATTTTTTTGCAACAACACAAATGGTCAGCCAGAGATTTATGCTTCAGTTTTCTTTTTATAATTTTTAAGTTTGATATTCGGCATGACATAATTGTATAGATCAAAACTCTTGAGTTTTTTAATCTCTGTTCTAAAATAATTTTTCATGATTCTTAATTTTCCCTTCAGTTAATGTGCATACAGTTCCAATTGTAAAATTGTGGAACAATTATGTTTGTGTGTAACAGAAAAAGTATTGATATTAAGACTGGATTTCCTTCTATTCAAACTTTAAGTATCTAACACAAAATAACACATATTTTAGTATTTTTAGTTTTACTTAGAAAGATATTGTCTCTTTCTTTTAAATTATCTCAATTAAGTCATATGGATTTGCCATATCTTGTCTCCTCTCCTGACCCCCCCCCCCCATTGCTCATCCACTTTGGAAAAAAAATCAAAGTTACAGGAGAGCAGCATCTTCTTTTTAACTGAAAATTATCCCCACTCTTTCCAGCCCTGG